CAAAACACGACAGCAACAGCGACAATCGCGATCTTACAGGAACTATTTGCCAGATACGGAATACCAATTCACTGCGTTAGCGATAACGGGCCGCAGTTTCGCAGTGAAGAATTTGCTCATTTCCTAAAAGTGAACGGTGTGAAACACGTACGGGTAGCACCTTATCACGCAGCGAGCAATGGGTTAGCGGAGCGTATGGTGCAATCGTTCAAGAACCACCTAAAGGCTTGCAAGGGCAGCAAACTTTCCATTCAGCAACGTATTGCGAACTTCCTCTTATCCTATCGGTCATCAAGACACCCCACGACTGGCAGAACACCCACTAGCCTGTTCCTGGGTCGCGAACTACGAACGCGGCTAACTCTTCTCCGCCCAAACTTAGAAGAGAAGGTCATGGATTCCCAAGCAAAGCAGAAGGCCACGCACGACGAACATGCCAAGTTCAGAGAATTTTACCCCGGGGACAGAGTTTCAGTGAAAGACCTCAGAAAAGAGGACACCTGGTGGCAAGGTTCGATAGCTGAGCGAAGTGGACCCAAGTCGTACATAATAGTATTAAATGACGGCAGAGTGTGGAAACGTCACGTCGATCACGTGAGACGGGACGGCATGGGCAGGTCGGCATCAGAACCAGGTGGAGAGAGAGAGTATCAGGACCAGTCCTTGGAGGTTCCATGGGCTATTCCGGTCAGGTCGGATATTTCCGGACAACCCCAGGTACCACCTGATGCCCAAGAAGGTGTATCAGCTGAAACAGATTCAGCTCAGGATCAAAAGCAGGACGTAACACCGGCAGTAACAGCGGAGGCACCAGCGACGGCTCCTCCCCAGTCCGTGGAAGCGGCCCCCACCCCGTTTCGCCGATCTTCCAGGGGGCGAAGAGCTCCGGATAGACTAATAGAATCTATCTGAAGTAATGCTGGGACTTCCGTACATTTAACTGTTGTCACCAGACATTCCTAGTTAATGTTGGAGTTTTTACATGGACTGTTTGAACTATGTTCTCGGACTCCGTTCCTTGTTGTTATTTCCGGACCCCGTTCTTTGTTGTTATTTCCGTTGTAGTTCGGTCCAAGAAAGGGGGAGATGTGGTGTATTTGTAGAGACTGAGTAGTATTGGTTCCAGTCTCCCCCTATATTTGTGTGAGGTTGTCAAGCAATGCCATGTGCTCGTAAGTTGTAAATATATTGAAACCTTTTCCCTCGTTGAATACGCTTCAACGCGCAACTCTTGGAAATCACGGGCGCCGGGGTGGCATGCGTGAGACAGAGAGGCTGTGAAAAAGGAGGGGGTGAGCCTTGTACTCACGCGTGCCACTTCCATGAAACGCACGACAACGCGGCCAAAATGGAATCCCAGGTGCATTAGATAGACCCAGGGGAGTTAGGTAGTAGACGCGCAACTCCTGGAAATAATGGGCGCTGGAGTGGCATGCGTGAGAGAGAGAGGCTCTGCAAAATCAGAGGGTGAGCCTTGTACTCACGCATGCCACTTCCACAAAACGCATGACAACGCGGCCAGAATGGAATCCCGGATGCACTAGATAGACCAAGGGGAGTTGGGAATAGACGCACAACTCCTGGAAATCACGGGCACCGGAGTGGTATGCGTGAGAGTAAGAGGCTGTCCACTATAAGGCACATTTGCTAAAGTAGTGGGTGAGCCTTGTACTCACGTGCGCCACTTCAACGAAACCCATGACAACACGGCCAAAATCGAATCCCAGGTGCACTAGACCTAGGGCAACCTCGGGAATAGACGCGCAACTCCAGGAGATCACGGACGCCGGAGTGGCATGCGTGACAGTGAGAAGCTCTGCATAAGAAGGGGTCAGCCTTGTACTCACGGGCGCCACTTCGACGAAACGGATGACAACCCAGCCAAAATGGAATCCCAGGTGCACTATATAGACCAAGGGGAGCTGGGTAATAGACGCACAACTCCTGGAAATCAGGGTCACCGGAGTGGCATGCGTTAGAATGAGAGGCTGTGCACTATAAGGCACATGTGCTAAAGTAGGGAGTGAGCCTTGTACTCACGCCTGCCACTTCCACGAAACGCATGACAACGCAGACAAAATGGAATCCAAGGTGCACTAGACCCAGGGGAACCTCGGGAATAGACGCGCAACTCCGGAAAATCACGGGCGCCGGAGTGGCATGCGTGAGAGTGAGAGGCTGTGTACTATGAGGCACATGTGCTAAAGAAGGGGGTGTGCCTTGTACTCACGCCTGCCACTTCCACGAAACGCATGACAACGCAGACAAAATGGAATCCAAGGTGCACTAGATAGACCCAGAGGAGCTAAGGCATGGACGTGCAACTCCTGGAAATCACGGCCACCGGAGTGGCGTGCGTGAGAGTGAGAGGCTGTGCACTATAAGGCACATGTGCTAAAGTAGGGGGTGAGCCTTGTACTCACGGGCGCCACTTCCACGAAACGCATGACAACGCGGCCAAAATAGAATCCCAGGTGCACTGGACCCAGGGGATCATTGGGAATACACGCTCAACTCCGGGAAATCATGCGCGCAGGAGTGGCATGCGTGAGAGTGAAAGGCTGTGCAAAAGAAGGGGGTAAGCCCTGTACTCACGGGCGCCACTTCCACGAAACGCATGACCACGCGGCCAAACATAGTTTTATAGTTATAGAGTTGTTAATTTCTTTGGTGTCTTTGCAATTATTTTGTTTTTAGTGGTGATACGTGGTATTGTCTCGAAGCTAGCCAAAAACCTACATGAAGAATGGTTGGTTTTTTGTCAGACCTGTGGCATGCGTGAGAAGATGCCTCATCGATACCTTTGTTGAGGTGCATCACATGTAGAGGAGATGCTTTACACAGGTGTCAGAGGTTTCTCAGAATCATGCGTTTATCATGCGTTTTATCCTAAGGTACCAAGGATCTACTAAGCTTGGGATTTGCGTCACAGCTCTGTGGCATGAGTTAGAAATCTGTGGCATAGCTGAGAATATGCCTCTTGGGTACGTTTGTTGAGGTGACGGTTTTGCGAAACTTGTTACATTTACTCACAGTCGCTTTCCGTAACAACAAAGCTATATATCATTCCAAAGCTTTCTATTAGGGGAACATTTTTGTGTTAAGTCTACAACATGTTTCAGAGAACTTTAGAACCTTGACCAAAATGCCCATGCTACCCCTTGGACAAAGAATCCAATATGGTGGCGAAAGAGAGAGTTAATCTTTTTTGATCAGCTCTAACGTCTTAACCTGCTATAAGATTTTCTTGAAATTTTGTACAGTGAAATACAAGAAATTTAGCGAGTTGGGCATTGAATATAAAGTCATGATATGTAGGGACAAAGAAGTTACAGCGGTTCAAAGATTGACTAGCGAAACATAAAATATGCACTATGGGGTGTATATGAGAAAGACTCACTTTAATGCTTTAAAACCACTTTTAAAGCACTAGGGACTCGTTTCGGGGATCATGAAACCTATACTTGGAGTTTCGGATAAATTTAAAATTTTGACCAAAATGGCCATGTAATCCCCTTGGCCCAAAAATCCAAGATGGCGGACATGAAAAGGTGTGCTCCTAGGGGTAGTGCTATAACTCCTCATATTTTCGCGTTTTTGACTCGCAGTTTTAGTGTGCTACAGACAAAATATGGAGCTACTTTGGTATGAGGGATGAAGTCGTTCCATGCAGAATCAAAAGAATTTTAGTTGTTGCCTTTTTACGAGGGACACTGGACATAAACGAGGGCACCTAAACATTACAGAATGGGTCTGAATTGCCCTCACCGAGGGGAACTGAACAGTCACCGAGGGGAAATGAACATTACAGATAGGTCTGAAATGCCCTCATCTGGGGTTGAACTCAACTTTGTCAAAAATTTTCTAAGTCTCACTTACTAATAAAAAGCTATAAATCATCTAAACATAAATAAAAACCTTTGCATTTTAATCACAATAAGGTTGATGTTGTAACTAATACTCAGGCAAGACATTACGTGATTCCCTTCACTTCCGAAGAGTCTAACGCATGACTTCCCGGCATTTTAACGAGGGGAATTCATCGTTCAGGGCCAATTAAACATCAACGAGGGGAAATGAACAAAAACGAGGGGAAATGAACATTTTCGCCTGGGTCTGAATTGCCCTCACGAGGGGAACTGAACATTGAGCGAGGGGAACTGAACATAAACAGAGGGGAACTGAACATCAACAGAGGGGAAATGAACATCATACGAGGGGAAGACTTGTAAT